CTGTAGTAAGCTGACAGACGTGTAGCAGGAGAAGAATCTTCCGTGCATGCAAGAGTGTTTGAAAATCTTTAGACCTTAGCAGTCACTCCTTCTACATTATCACTTCACAGGAGTCTACTCAGTAATGGGACTGGTGCCCGTGACAATGTCAGGGTCAAGGAAGGGTTTCTATGAGAACATCCAACCGAGAAAACTAAAACAATGCTAATCAAGACAAGTCATGTGCTCCGCAGTACGTGCCTCCTAGTTCTAGGGGTGGTCTAGAGGGAATTCTGGACTAATTAACACAATGGAGACTGCACATTCTGCCCTCCTCCTTCTGTCCTCAACCCCAAATGTACTGACTCAGCAACTGGCCTAGAGCCAGAGCCGCACAGTGCAAATTCAGAGTATGCAACAATGTTCCGTTCAATTATGACATAATGGCTGCAAACCCATTCCTGAAAGCAAGAAAACCTGAATAATGCGGTTAGCTTATATTAGACGCGAGGGCATAAGAGAGTTTAAAAACCAATTTGAAAATTCCATCCTCCCATAAAGACAGCATTAAGATTGAGGGCAAAACCATCCAGTTCAAGGAATGGGAACAAAGGGCATAAGGAATTATGCAGACTCCTTTTGACATTATCCTTCTTAACCAACATGACCCAGTCCCTCTGATATTTAATACTAACCCAGCAAGAAGACATTTCATTAAAACATTTTAGTCATATTGTGCTCAGATAGTAATACGAGTTTCATTGCTAAAAACAAGTTTGCAATTCAAAATTCCATTTGTCACTAATATTCTATTTATTTCCAATTCATCTTTCCAAAGATGCCCACACAAGACCTGCGAAGGTGTTTTGTTGCAAATCCAGCAATTCATTGGTCTTTCAGTATCAATAACTCATAAGCTGGTACAAGCACAGGGTTTAATTTAGATGTTGAGAACTATCCACTCTGTGACCAGGCCCTGGCAACACTGAGCTGTGTAAGAGTCTACAGTCTCCTGAATCTTAATTCTGTTCTTCCACAGCTATCATTAATAAAACATTTGAAATTTTGAAACTGGAAAGTGACTTTAGATAAGAAAACTCTGTTAAAGTCTTTTGCACATTATATTTTTTGTTTATTCCTATTTTTCCTTGAACAAGGGCATATGCTTATATGTTTTGTTTAAGGCTACTTTAAGGTTCATGGGAAGAAAGAACTAAGTTTCAGATAGAAATTCTCTTAGTCTAAAAAGGGTTCTGATCTCTAAATCTAACAAGAGTCACATTAGTTTCTATTTGAACACAAAAACCTCTTTTTCCACAGGTATATTTCAGATGGCCTCAGCCGACTTTCTATTAAGTAATATAATAGTGTTCTTTTTCTTAGCTTACCAAAACTACATATTTTAAGAAGTAAAAAAAAAAATCAAATAATTCAATGTCATGCCTTTTCCTCCTGACTGAACTAAAACCCATTTTCCTATTATTTCATTATTAATATGAGAAAGTACTGGAACAATAAGAGGAAGTTCATTTGTTTATAGCTATAACATTCTGGTTTTGGTTGCAATCAAGTTAACAGAAAGAAGCAGCAGCATGTACCCCACAACACACATATTTTTTATATATATATTAAACTTTGAACTCCACTGGGATGTTGTCAGTAAAGGAGGGGAAAAACAAACAAACAAACAAACAAAACCCACAACTATGGCTTTTCTTCACGGTCATTAAACAATTCAGCTTAAAATAGTAACCTCACGGGGCCTTTCCCCTTTGACAGGATCAAACACACTAGGATGCTGACAGCCTCGGTAAGTTGGTAATTTAGCATATCTTCATAGACAATTCTTCAAGTATTTGCCAAAGAGATATTTGGGTGAAGGGTTGAGCATGGTAAGTCTGGAAGGAGTGCAGACACAGAGCTGTTGGGCCTTTCTGCCTGCACAGTCAACTCAACACAACAAATGCTCTACCATTCACCAGGCAGATCTGCTTAGAAGGCAGTCTGTGGATGTTCAAACGTACTCTTCCTTGGCCCAGGCTGTTGATCAACACACTACTTCTAACTGCACTTAGTCATTCCCTGGAAGGTGACTCTTGTTTTTCTTCTTTTCTCTCTGCTGCTTTCCCTGTGATGTTTTCTTTATAGGTGTAGCCTTCCTCCAGGGACACTGCCTTTTGTCTATAGCGTGAACTGAGTGTATATAGTGTCAGGTACTAGAAACATCAAGGTGATTAAGACACTGACCTTGCCCTTAAGGACCTTAGGGTAGAGGATAGACTGACAACCCAACAGTACAGTCATGAAGGCTGATAAAGCAAACCATTACTACCGGATAGTACAGATGCTATGTGTTGGACACAATCCGAGCAAGTCCAAGTGCTGGAAGCTCCATCCCCAATCTGGCAATGGCAAGGTGACAGAACTTTGCAGAAGTGGAGCCTAGAAGATGCTTGGTCATGGAAGAGTATGCTGAAAAGGGGGAGGGGTGGCTAGTGTTGTTCTCTCTGACTGAAAAGTAGCCCTTTCTGCACACGGACTGGTCCCCTGTCTACTTTTCTAGTGTAATGGGCCAGAGCCGGGAGACCCAGGTCAAAACTTCAGCATCAATGATCTACATCTTCCAGCTTCTACAATCATGAGCTGAAGACTGGTACCTTCTAAAAACAGCAGACATTTTTCAATTTTGTTTACATCTCTTGAGAAATGAACTCTTGGATAAGAACTAGGAAAAGAAGAGAGGTACTGTCTTTATGCATTCTGATCCCTGTCCCTACCTGTACAGGGATGGGTCTGGGATGTAGACTCATGTATTTATGGGAATTACCACAAGTTTTTATTTTATATCTTTTCCCCTGAATGACTCTGTCCATAGAACTTGCTGGATATACAAAGAAAAAAGCTGGAGAAGCTCCTGCTACAAGTAGAGCCACACATACCTGAGCCAGAGGGTATCCCCCTTCACAACAACTGCGAACAGGAACCAAATCTCCTTCAGGAACTATTCCAGCGGGTGTTCCGGTTCTTCTGATGTCTATCCCTTGAATAAAACAGGGCAAAAGATTAGCTTTACAGTAAGGAACATAAAAACCCTCACCACTTCACACCACATCACCTCAACATCTTACTATGTTTGAAGTCCCAAGCATGAGAATTAGTAACTAAATATATTGGCCAGCCAGAGGATATACAAGATATGAAATACAAAAACTTTAATTAAGACAAATGTATTTCGAAGGCACCTCTCCATAGCGCCTCTGGGTACAGTGCCCCTGTGAGTACAATACAACTAGGCAACCTGAACAAAACAGAAACACAGCTCAATTAAGTCTCAGGTTAGAAAAATATTCGTTCCTATTACTCACCCGCCAATAGTCTCTCTAAATAAAACTGCATATTCCTCTAGCAAAAGAGACAAAAATGATTCATCTTTCTCTGGCAGGTAGCTTCAAGTGGACCACAGCAAACATGGAGGAAAATTTAGAGCCTGTTTATAGTACCCCATAAATTTTAATTTTCACAACTGGGCCTTTCTGGTTCCAGGCAATTCCTGAGTACAGCAGGACCCAGGTTATTAGGTTGTAACATCTCACACAGAACCTGATTAGTTCCGTCTTATCTCAGCAAAACAACAGCTCAGCATTTTCCAGGACATACTTGTTTCAATGCCTTCTGCGGCTGGTGGTAGTCTGTTTGTTGACACAAGGTCTCACTATGTCTTCAGGCTGGTCCAGAACTTGAGCTCTGCCAGCCTAATCTACAGTGCTGGGATTGTAGACAAGTACCACCACCACGCTGTTTCCCTTGCATTTCAGTCTCTGCTGTTTACCAATTACACACCTCATGCATGCTCTTATAAATATTGGTAGAGCGCATCATGTGCATTTTTATAAGTTATTCTACAAAATATTACTGCATGAGATGACTGTGGCCTCTGAGAGCCATCTCAACTTGCTCAATGGTCTACTGAGACAGTCAAAGTGACTATTTTAACCAAGGCAATGTGTAGTTACAGGAGCCTATCTTAGGTTGGGAAATATACTATTACTGTTAGGCTATAACATTCTAAGTACCATTCCTGTGTTTAAGGAACTGAGAATCTTTGGGTTATGCTAGACCCCAGTGTATTTTTTTTTTCTAAAAGAACACTAAAATGCAGTTTTATATAAATATGATTAATAAGAATAAGGATAAAGACTAGTCAGGAAAAAAACACACTTAAAAGAGAGCCTTAGAAACAATCAGATAACAATTCACGTCAGTGACAACTGTCAGAGACTTTCTACCCTTGGACTTATTAAAAATTGTATTAGTTGGTATTTGTCAGGGGTGAGCGACAGGGCTAAGTATTTGTTGAGAACTGTTAGGTCTGATTTATTCTTTCATTGTCCACAGCCCAGAGGGCCGCTTCTGCCCAATAAAGCAAAGACGGGGTCCAGACAGCCGGGTCCAGAGGGGCCTGGCACTCACGATGTTCCCTCTCCTGCACTTTTCAACCTTTTCACCCCAATTAAAGGTCAACACGGCTGCTCAAAAACATTTATTTAAAAAGGCAGTCAACTCAGCAGGCTGTCAAGTGTGATATTGCCACTTCATAGAATTCAATTAAACCCGGGACCGGGGCCTCTGTGAATCACTGGAAGAAGCAGGACTTGGGACATTTTCTTCGAAAAGCGGTAATTTTTTTTTTTTTTTTAAACCTCCCGTCATTTATTCGGTTCCCCGAGCGCCATCACAAGCGCGGGAGTTCACAATCTCCCCCCAGTGGCTCGGGGATTTATAGCTCTCGGCTTCATTAAACCCCCTCCGCCTGCAGCGGAAGCCCGCGGCGGCGCGCCGCACTGCGCAGGGCTCGCGGCCTCCTCCACCTCCTCCTCCTCCTCCTCCGGCGGGCGCTGACACACACCGAGCGCCCACGGCCACCCCAGCGCCATCACCCACCTCGGCCTCGGGTCGCCCGGCCCCCGCCACTTCCGCCCGCCGCACTTCCGCCGCCGCGCGCTGCACTTCCGGCCCGCGGGCGCCGCCCTGCCGCCTGGGCTCCTTCCTCTCCGGGCCTTTTCTGTATCTCTATCCCCTTCACCCCCGGCGGGGCGAGCATCCCCTGAGTCAGGAGAAGAGAAAGCCAAGCTAAGATGTATTGAAAAAGAAAGAGAAGAGGGAAGAAGTCGAGGAGAGGCCCTGTGTGTTAAGGAAACAGCCTGGGGGTTTGAGAGGCAGCATTTTGAGGCTGGCCATTTTAACCTCTCCCTGTATGCGTCCTTTCGTTTATTAAGGTCGTATTTACCGTCTTCCTCTTCCTTCGGGTTGGGGCTGAACTGGGCTATAAGGAATAGGCTGAGTAAAGCTGGGAGCTGTACCTCCCTCCCTACGTTTACAACCTTATAACCCTGTGGGCAAGGCAGACATGGGGGAAATTATCCTTTAAAACAGGTAGTGCATATGGTAGGCTAAGCGTTTTTTTGAAGAGGAGGAATATGACCTGTGAAAAGATAGCAATGCCAGCTGGTTAGAGAAGTAGCTTTTAGACTAGCATATGACAGCCCCGGCACAGGAACAGAACTCTCTAGCGAGAAAAGAACACAGCTTGGACCATGCACAGACAACAGGCCAAAGCTTCACGGGGATTGGGGACTAGAGGGGAAAAGAGGAAGAAGAGTATGGAGTCAGGCCAGGTAGCCAGGACAGGCCTGTGCTACCGGCAGCCGGAATACTTTCTGATTGACTTATGTCCCTATGCAGAAAGGGGAGCTGGAATAATTGTTTTTGTCCTCAAAAAGGATCTCTCAGCATTGGGAAGTTAATGGCTTAGTATAGGTGGAACTAGCAGGGACGTCAGGAAAATGACTAAGTAGCATAGGCTCCAGGTGTGGTGGTATTGTAAGTAATAAGAAAATGATGGGTAATAAGTATAATAATACTCAAATTAATATTGATTGATTGCTCATCCAAAGCTTGGCACTCATTAACATGTTTAATCCTATATGAATGGTCTTATTAAGTACCATTTTACAGATGATGAAATGGAGGCTTAATAACTTGCCCATATCCTCCCAGATAGAAAAGAGCATATTGGAATTTCAGTACCTGTGGGCTCATCACCGAACAAAAAATCACTGTGTATTTCGTGCTTAAGAAAAAAAAAAAGATAAAGAAGGTCAGAAATGAATCCCTTAAACAAATCATATTGATTCTATGATATTGGTAGAGGAAGGACACAATTTGAAAGTAGAATTTTCAAGTTCATACTTTATCACTTCAGCATTTGTTAGCAGCCAAAAGAGGATTTGGAGCCTATAAACAGACCTATGATTTTTGTTGTTGTTGTTGTTGATACACTCTGATAAGTCCTAATCTTTCTGAGCAGGAAAAGGTCACTCTATAACAGTTACAAATAGATTATTTCTTAGGAATGAATGCTGTGTCTAGCTATAAGTATCTTGGTAGAGCATGTATATTGTGTACATTTTGTGGAGAGATAGATCTTCCTGGAAATGTAACTTCAGGTCAGCTTCCAAATTTCATTTGTATTTTGTTGGAAAAATGAAGCTTTGTATAGTAAGTTATATTTATGAAATTTGATTTCACCAACTGAAGATGAATGGTTTCCCCAAAGGTCACAATGAAAGCTTCGCAGTGTTGATTACAGATAAATTTCCCCAAGGAGTCAAAGTTCATTTCCAGAGTTTGCATTTAATTAGTGGATTTTTTGAGTGGTTATACAGTTTTTAAGTGGTAGCACAGGACTCCATACAAACAGGAATGCATACAAACAGTTTCACTTGAGAGTGGGAATTCCCTGAAATGGTTGTGAATCCCTGAGGCTTTGGTTATCAGTGCCCAGTCACCTTAGGAATGTCTATGTTAGAGCCTTTATCCCAGAAGAACAGTTTGGCTTTTAGGTCCAACTTTCCCTCCCTGTGCCAAGCAAAGGACCTTTGTTTGAGAGAATTTTTGGAGTTTGAACAGAAAAAATGATTATCTCAAAAAAAATTGGCCACAGCAAAATTATAAACATTTATTCAAGGGTCATAGAGTAGAACATGTGTGGGTGTCACTAAAGGCTGGATTTAGCATTCATTGCAAACAATACCCTATTGAGACAGTCTAAACACATGAGAGCTACTACAATGTGATGAATACTGAGACATTGTAGTATAGTCTATTTGTTGATGACTTTAGCTAAATAATTTCAGAAAAATTTACAAATTTATTTTTATAGAAAAATATTAAATAGGGTCTACTCACAGCTTTTAGTATGTTTCAAATGATGTGAAAGTAAGATTGAAGGTCTTTAGATAGTACTGGTTGGTATTTTTTATCTAAAATATTCTTTTCGTAGGCCTTTGACCTGTGTATTGTCCTCTGGGGACTCCAGTTCTAGTGTTTGCCCTGAGAACTGAAGTACCAGTCTGTGTTCTGACTACTTTGGAACCTGAATTCTATACTTAGACCTCAAGAATGGTATCTCAGTGGTTATGTCTGAGGCTAACTCTAGAAACAGCCTGCTTGGCAGGGCTGGTCTGTAACTCCTGAGATAACTCCAGAGTACTTTAGACGATACACTATCTGTCCTTCCAGAAATGACTTGGAGTCAGGCCTTCCATTTAAGGCCTCATGAGGGCTAGACATGTGGGTGTGGTGGCTTCACTCTTCCTTCTTGGCTTTGCCTCTGAGAAAGCAGAAGTAAAGCAAATGGCTGGTGGTATGAAAGCGTTTCCTTCAGAATGCTTTAAAAAATGTCTTAGCAGGGAGTGATTGTCATGCCTGCCCTATTTTACTGTAACCTGGATTTGTGCTGCCACTCAAAGAACATGAGACGTGGACTTTGACTAGGAGGGGCTATCTCAGTAATTGCCACCGTTGGGTGATGCGATGGTAGAAACATTCAGAATCCTGGGAGGAGTTCCCTGGTGTTCTTCTGGTCTTGATGATGAGCATATTTGTTTATCTCATCAGTCAGTCTTTCTAGGTACTGCCAGCTGCAGGAAATGATCTGAAAGGGCCAGATATTAGGTTATGTTTAAGGTCATAGAGAAAAACAGTGGCAACCTCCCAAAGAAAAGATGTGCTTCCGAGTCTGGGATGTGTGGGGTCATTGGGTCACTGTTGACTACCTCCAGGCCAACCATTGTAAAAGGAGACAGAATTATAAGCCTGTTCCACCAGGAAAGAATGGGCTACAGAAACCTGATTTCTGTATCCTCTATGACATTAAAAAAAAACAAAACAAAAGAAACTCTGCTCTTGTTCCAGACATTTAGAGGAGAGTGAAAAAAAATTTCAAAGGGGGAAAAATGCTTATTTGTTTTAAGGCTTGCTGAAGTAATCCACTTACACCATTTACATTAGTTAAACAACCTTTCCCTGTAAACACCATTAATTATGTAGTATAAGAGTCAAATAAAAATGCTAAAAAATAAAAGTAATTGGAGAATAAATTAGTGTAGCTTGAGTGCCCATACATTATAGAGAAACTGTAGACTTTGACGGGGATGGATGTGTGATTTTTCTATTGTTTGTGCTATAGGATGGAACCAACAGAAATGACATTTCACAGATGGATGCCAAAGCTGTTAAAGTTTAAACTCACACTGGCAGTGAAATTACAGTTTTCCCAGAGGCCTTGACTCCAGCCTCTCTCTTTATCCATCTCGGAAAGACTGTGAGGTGAGATGCGGTTGGAGTGTCCCGTGGATCTCCCCAGAAGATCTGGGAGAACCAGACCATTGTTGTCAAGTCCAGAAGCAATAGCCTCCAACCTCCTTTCGAGTGTAATAACAGGAGATTGCTGTGTCTGTGCTGAAGGAAATGAACTGACGTGCTGCCTGCTAGCCACGAAGGAAAGGGTCAGGGACTGTCACGACGGAAAGAAGATGGTGTCAGAGACACCGCAGTGACAAGAGCAGTGGACATTCATGTCCCCATTTGTTAATTGATTGCTTACAGTTCCTCAGGACAGGATACACCTTTTTGTCATCCCATTTTACAGACAAGGAAATTGACACTTAGAGGAGATCACAAATGAGACAGGGATAGGAAAGCATTTCCTCCTGCTGATTTTTTCTACTACCTCATTCATGTTTTTAAATGTGAATGAAGAGAACTATGGCTCATTTCAAAAGAATATTTTGTTCTACGTAGGATCTTTTAAGAATATTTGAGCCTGGTGGTGATGGTGCACAGCTGTAATCCCAGCACTCGGGAGGCAGAGGCAGGCGGATCTCTGTGAGTTCAAGGCCAGCCTGGGCTACAGAGTGAGTTCCAGGTCAGGCACCAAAACAACACAGAGAAACCCTGTCTCCAAAACAAAACAAACAAAACGATATTTGAGCACATTTCCATCATTCCTCAGGGAAAGTTTTGTTTTACTTCAGGAGGCAGGAAATGGTTTTGAGATAGGAAAAGTGTTTCATTTTTATGGATTAAGCCCATCATCTATTATAATCACTAAAGCTGGATCGTGGAAGAGCATAGGGTTCTCACAGCATGAAGAAGGACAAAGCCCCCTGGCTTCCTGGTGCATATCCACACCATCCAGAGAGGCCTGTTCAGACGGACAGGAGAGCTAGCTACCAGGAAGAGCTGCCCTGCAAACGCACTCTTACATGCCATTGGCCAACTGTCCAACAACTTACTGCTTAGAAGAATTCTGAGGGACAATTTTTCCAACTTTTGAGAATCTGGCCCTTCTTCAGAGAAATATAATGAAATACTTAGCCATACCGTTTGCTATGTGCAGCATAAACTAAAGGGAAATTATCTTTATTTATTCAGAATAAGGCTCCCTGTGCCAGCAATAAGCACTGAAACCCAGGTACTAAAAACATGCATGCCTCTTCTAGGGGAACTCACAGTCTAGTAGGAATATCAGTGTTAATGAAATGGCCATGTTAATAAATATTTACTACTGGGCTTTGAGGAACATGCTAGTGATCTTAGCACTTAGGAGGCTGAGGCAGGAGGATGAAGAAGTAGAGGCTTGTCTGGGCCACAAAGCAAGATCCTATCTCAAAACAAAACAAAACAAAATAGTATTATTGTAAATATTCCTTTCTCCAAAGAGGGTAATATTTGTAACTAACTTACTAGAAAAAGAAAGTAGACACAATATATACTATATCTACACATAGTTTTTTACTTAAAACACATAAATATCTACTTGTCAAATTTGATCCAGCTGAGATGCCTTGTGTGAGGACTGGTCTAGTAACTGAAGTGTTACTTCATCCTTATGGTATAAAGCCCACTCAGAATTATACATTTTATGTGCAATTTTCAGTTATAGCTACTTTAAAATGGAAACTATGAAGACACTGGTGAAGTAAATTTTATTCGTTTAGATTTCATTATCCTCTCAATCTTTTACACTTCTCTGGCTTACAACTAATTTCAGAACAATACCCCACCCACTTCCCAGACTTTGTGTGTCTGTCTTTCCAAAGCATTTAACTTAGCTTTCATAGAAATAACAACTCTCTTTTTATGCTCATATTTGAACAGTTTATGTGATACTTAATTAAACTATATAATTATAGTAATCAAGTACAACTGTCATAAACAGGTTTGAGAACAAAAACAAGCCACTCTGAGTAAGCATGGAGCTCAGCTGGTGGGAGCTGAAGCGGCGAGGACACCAGGCAGGCAGAAGTCACAAGCATCTGTCTCACTGGACAATCAGTCAGTACATCTGACAAAGGGATTTGAAAACATCAGTTAGCTCCCAGAGGAGCTCAATTAAAAGTGCCTCGATTGTAATTAAAAACTAATAAATATTTCAAGGAAAAGCAGTGGGTGCCATAAAGGTCTATGCTGGGGAGACATGCTCTTCTTGCCTTGGGAAGTCAGGGAAGGCCTCCGAGGCCCATTAGAATTACCTCAGAGAGGGGCTGAGGCAGGAGTTCTGAGAGAGAGTACAGCAGCATCTGGCGGCTGTAGAGGACTGAGGGAGTGTGTGTTGAACACGAGGAACTGAAGGAAGCTGGTTGTGTGAAGAGCAGAGGTGGAGGATGGGTACAGGGCATGGTAGTGGGAAGACTGAGACCACTCCATGACAGCTCTAAGGCCAGTGGTTTTCAACCTTCCTAATGCGGTGACCCTTTATTACAATTCCTCATGTTGTGCTGACCCCCAACCATAACATCATTTTCATTGCTAGCTCATAGCGGTAATTTTGCTACTGTTGTAACTGTAATGTAATTATCTGTGTTTTTGGATGGTCTTAGGCAACCCCTTGTGAAAGGGTGGTTCAGGGATCGCGACCCCATGGGTTCAGAACTGTTGTCTTAGGGCTTTGACAAGCGTGGTTGACTTCACCCTGTCCACAGTGACAAGTTGCCAATGCAGGTGAAGCAAAGGTCTGCTTATTTTACAAAGAACAGCATCCAATTTATAGAGTCTAAACCTTCAAGTCTAATTTGGGAATTTGATTTCTTTTTTTCCAATGTAAATATGCCATGTGATACTTTGTAGACAAAAACAAAACAAAACAAAACACAACTTTAACCTCTGGCTCCAGGATTTCTCTTAGGTAGGTAGCTGTGCTTATTGAGGAAATTGCGTTCACCAGCAGCTTGTGTGTCAAAGATGAGCATCTTTTGTTGTCAAGACAACAAAGGGGATGCTAAATGTCTCTGCTGAGAAAAAAAAAGGGAGGGAAAGAGAATTTAGTTTCTAGGCTTCTATAACTATGTACCACAAAGTGGGTAGCTTAAAACAACAGATGTTTATTAAATCCCCCATTTTGGAGGCTGGAAGTTGGAAATCAAAGTGTCAGCAGGACCGTGTACCCTCGACGAGGCTCTCTCTTCATGCTTTCTTTCCTGCTGGTGGCCAGCAATCCTGCCATTCCTGGTTTGCGACCCTTCCTCTGTTGTCACAAGGCGTCCTCTCTGTGCCTTGATAACTTTCTTATAAAGAATATTGTTATATTGGATTAGCATCTGCATTAATACCTTTACCTTAAGTCGCTTATGCTTGTAAATACTCTATTTTTACATTTTCAGGTACTGGGATTGGGGGCTCTAAGGGCAAAACCCTGGAACCTATAACACACTTGAAGGAAAGGAGTTAGGAAGAATCAGAAAAATTATGTGACGTTAGGTAACTGGGGTGGTTATAACAAGAAGTTGCTAGTGGTGGGGTGGATGAAAGACTAAAAAGGGGTTCTAAAGTACTTTTCTTACAGAGTAAGATGCAAAAATGTCTCTTTACAGTGCTCATTTACTCTGTCTGCTACAGATGTGTTAATAATGATTTGACAGCGGAGATGAGAAGGCGAATGACAGTAGAGCCACTGAGAATTCTTGGTCCCCATGTTGGAGTCTCTGACTGAAGTTTGTAATCATAGAGATTCTCCAGAGAGCAATTCAGGAAATCTGAGAAAAAGATCACTGAACATCTGTGTGGTGGTTTGAAATAAAATGGCCCCCCAAAGGGAGTGGCACTATTCGGAGGTGTGGCCTTGTGGAGTAGGTGTGGCCTTGTTGGAGGAAGTGTGTCACTGTGGGGGCTGGCTTTGAGGTCTCCTATGCTCAAGATACTGCCCAGTGTCTCAGTCAACTTCCGGTTGCCTTTTGATCAAGATGTAGCCTGCACTATGTCTGTCTGCACACTGTCATGCTCCCCACCATGATGATAATAGACTGAACCTCTGAAACTGTAAGCAAGCCACCTCAATTAAATGTTTTCATTTGTAAGAGTTGCTGTGGTCATGGTGTCTCTTCACAGCAATAGAAACTCTAACTAAGGCAATCTGTATCATCCCTCTGTACCTTCAGATAGTCATATATATATATATTGGCTTCCAAAGTCTCAGGTCTGGGGCTTGGGCAACTTTCTTTGGTTGGACTTGGTCTACAATATACAATATAGTTATGAAAAAAATCTTTCCTGTCACTTGGTACTGTTAGCCTCTTTTATGGTTTAAGTGCAGGATTTTTAGCTATATTAGGAACATTTGTGAGCTACTTTAAAAGAAACCCGAAAACTTTTGTATTCTGCTTCTCTTGTCCTGATATTCTCTAAATATAAGAACTGCAAGGAGATTACAGCTTGAACGGAGAGAGAACGATCTGTGATATTCTTGTCACTGTCTCCTCTACTTCACAGCAAACCTCTGTGTTTTGTTTCTGGGTTGGAAACTGAGGCACTGAAGTTCTTCTACTCCCTTCACTCAGGTGGGTCCCCAACTCACAACGAAGGAAATGATTTCCTGTAGTGAGTCCAGATGCTTGTGTTCAGCGTTATTGCTATTAGCCATCAAGCCTGAATTGTACCAAATTAAATCCGTCCTTGAGGCCTGAAGGGAAGACAATCTTAATAATGGTTTAATGTCCTCAGAGTGAAATAGCCTGAAGTGGGGGAGGACCCACCGTCTCTGTGAACACAACCCAACGCTCCAGCATTTCTGCTGGTTTCTGTGGCTCATTTACATTGGTATTTAACACAAATGTGATCTTAAAGCACATTAACAACCTCCTTAAAGCCTAAGTAACTGGCAAATGGTTAGCATAATTAATAAAGCCGTTTTTAAAAATTCCTGTAAGCAGCTCAAGGAAAATGACAAAATATTCAATGAACAAAGGTGTTAGTGATTAATATGCCATGCCTTTGTAGGAGCTTTCACCCCCCACATTAGGTACTTCATGAGCACTGAGCTTGCTCAGGAAAAAGAAGCAAAACCAAAACAAGCTATCAAAATGGCAGCCATCAAGAGAGTGAGAGACTGGGAACTAGTATGAGACCATGTTTGGGCATTTAGGCAAGAGACCTCTTGGGTTCTCCTCCACTCTGTGTCTTCAATGCTTGGCTCATTGGAGTGTTTAGACAATGCTCTTCCCTAACCTACCCATCCCAGGCATCACATCCAGGATAATCTTGCTGTTTGGTTGTGGAGGAGAGGGAAAGTTATTTTGATGAAGCTTGTGTTCCTTTCCAGTTTTTGAAAACCATTGGGTCTCTTCCTTGGAAGAAGTCCTTTATGGATACCACCTGCAGTCTGGCAGGTTGTTCTAGAAAAGGTACTGGTGTTGAGGCCTAAGGTCCCGGAAGAATACCTCTGAGACCCCCTTTGGTTCAGTCCTACACCATGGACCAGGCTCCATAGTTCTGTGTCTGGTTCTTCCTTTTATATAAAAAAGGTTCATTTATTTTTGTGTGTTTGTCTGCACATATGCATGTGTATCACATATGTGCTTGCTCCCTGTAGAGGTGGAAGAGAGTGTTGGATCTCCTGGAACTGGAGTTTACAGGTGATTGTGAGCCACTATGTGGGTATTGGGAACTGAACCCAGATCCCTTTCAAGATCATCAAGCATTCTTAACAGCTGACCTTTCTCTTCAACAACCTGCATGTGGCTCTTTGCCATAGTTTCTGCTCCACCCTTTTTAGTTCTTTCAACAACCTTCTAAAAGAGTTAACCAGTCAGTGTTAGGCTTCTGTGACACCCTGGTTTGGGTCATATTCCAAGCCAAAGATCATCTTCTCGTATTTCTATTCAAAATCTCAAAAGCTACCACACATTAAAAAGATTAAAACACCGAGAAAGAACTCTCAGCTTGAACTAGTCACACAGCTGTCCGTCCCTTGGTGCTCATTACCCTGCAGAGTTTTAAACATTTCTTTCTTTCTTTTTATTTTTTTAGTAACAGCAAGTCAAATTGGCCAGGATTCAGGAAGGAAAAAAAAACCAAATGGCATAAATTTTAAAAAGTTCTTTATAAACTCAAGAGTGGCAACCGCTTTCTGGGAAAAAGCAGGAAGGATGGATGATAACAATATGCCGGCAGATATGAATGGGAGAAAGAAACTGGGGGTCAGTTATTCTCATTAGTCAAAGAGACAAGACAGGAGGAATTGCCTTGAGCTTGGTGGAAGAAAAGAAATGTAAGAAACAACTCATCCTAAGTACAAAGAAACATCAGCATTGCCCTCGTGTACTGCTGCTGATAACTTAATCAGCATGCTCAATTTCTTATTTGGTAACTCAATTAGTTAAGGAGTTTTCATGCCATTTCCCTCTCTTCCCGGGCATGTATGTATGTATGTGTATGTGTGTTTATTTTCATTTGTATGCCTCTGTGTGTATGTGTGTGTGTGTGTGTGTGTGTGTGTGTGTAAATGAAGAAAAAGAGACAATAGTAGAGGCATATTGTTACCAGCCCCATTAATCAATGAAAAGCGGAAAACCTAGAGTTGCTCTGTCTGCTGCAGCTTGTCTGCGATGGCGTGGTAGATGATCACTTTGGAGATCCCTACTTACAGGTTTTCATTTTATTCTATTTTTTTGTTCTGTTCGAGGTTATTTGTAGCTTCACGCTGTAGCACTTTCTCCTTTTTGATCACCATTGACTCTATCACAGGCAAATGAGGGTAAAATCTAACCCAGTGGAATAGTTCATGTTTGCTCTATCTAACCTTATCTTTCATAGGTTGTCTAATTGTATATTGTCTCTCATAGCTTACATGAACTCATCTTTCCTCCTTGGTTGGGGAGGAGGGGGGTCTCAAGTTACTTTGTCATCTAATGTCTGTGCTCCTGCAGATAATTTACAGGCCACACAGCTTCTACCTTCTGTGTTCTGTAACTCGGTGGTAGTGTGACCTTCAGCAGCTGCTGAGCCCCTAAGTAGGGCAGAGGAGACCATTATAGAAAGGAAATAACATGTGGCTTCCCAAACTGCGTGAAACCTGTCTATTGTTACTAGATGAATTACATATTCATGAACATTGAGAAATGAAGACTGTTTCCCTTGCCAAGCACTCACCTTGGCTGAGCACCATGCCTGGCAAACAATGCGAAGCTCTGGCGCTGTCATCTGTTTACCTGGCCAGTCAGTATGTGTTGCATGATTAACGGTTTCTGCAACATGGTGTGGGAGGAAAGCTGGGTAGAGACATACATTTCCAAAGAAAACTGAATTCAATTATTATTGTAATTCTATTTGATATCAGCCACTGCTCTCAAATTATCCTAACAAAACTGTAGTACTGTATTATCAGGAAAGGAATTTACTGGTTACGAAGTCTCTACACAAATACCATGAAGACCTTCCTTCGCTCCCTTAAGTAGACTGCTGAGCTGTTGTGTGTGCAACTACTTACAAGATGATGAGTTTTGATGACTCTATTTCTTATTAATTCCTGTTGTCAGAGAATTATGGAAACTCTCCCTATTTTACCAATGGGAAAACTGAAGCCAGATATGTTAAGTGACCTCCCAGGGGACATTATTAGTGGAAGAGCCAGGGGGAACACTGCTGCACTGCTCTCTCTTAATTCTTAGTTCATATTTATTCCACCAGAACACCACACTCATGTGGCTTTAACTTTAGTTTTACAATGTCAGGACTGATGATGACCAAAAATATTTGGATATATAAAATGGGGTATTGGGTTTTGTTCAAGCTCATCAGAACTCCCTATTCCTCCTGCCTTTAGCTTATCCCCCTTCTCTATCACAGGCTTTCTCCATCTTATGATCTTCTGCTGATTAAGTGAGTATAATGGCTCATTACAGCCATAACTCTTACAACTCTTCTGTGTTCCTCTGCTGCACATGTGGAAAAGACTCCTTTGCAGCTAGGTTTCTGGATGTGACTTTGGGCTCTTCTAAGCAGCTGTATTCTCACAAGACAAATTCAGACCTGAATTAAATAGTGAGAGAAATGGTAATCTGTTAGCCTTTGTTCCCATTTCCCACTCTTAAGTGTGAAAGTAATGGGGATTAACTGTTACAACCCATGGAGAGTTGTAAATGAAGTGTGATCCTGGAACCACTGGTTGCATTGGCAAACATCTTGATTTCCAGACCTGAAAATGCCATAGAAGGCAGCTGCCATTGGGGTTGCTGTTCTTAAGTATTGTTTTGGACTCATTTCGTCAGAGTCCTAACAGAGGCTGTTTCTTCTGATCTTAAGATTTCATTAGCATTTAATTCACCAAATCCCTTTCTACTGAAATTTGATGCAGTGATTTCTCAAAGCCGTTACATGGTCATGACTGATCACCTGTCAGCCCACAACACCCTGAGCTGTTAATCTGTGATCTAACATATACTTGTGCTTTTAAATACTGACCCCAGTCTCCCATACCCAGCCTAAAAGGTTATTTATCTTAGTGGTGCTGTAGCTCGGATAATGCCTAGCATAGGCAATTCACTTTTTTTTTTTTTAAAGTGGACGAATGACTAAATGTATAGGTGCAAACATCCTGTGTCACTTATTTCATGTAAGAATGAGAAACTTGGTAAAAATATAATTGTAATTCATATATATACATATATATGCATTATATATATGTCATTAGCATATTTTATATAACCAAATGTGGAATGGCACATACTTTTAACCTGATATTAATCATCACTTCTTACTTAAACAGTCAAATGGGATTTGATGCTTGGCAATTGAATATTTTGCTGTCCCTGGAAGACGAGAAATGTGCATTGATGAATGTGAA